GTTTTACAACAAAAGATAATTGTTGTGCTTCCACCTTTACACTTTGTAAGACTAAAATTAATACTTGAAAGATAGATTCATTATTATTGTTAATGGAAAGCACAACAACAATAAAACAGTACAACGACAAACTAACTAATATAACATTTATAAATAAAAACTAATAAGACGAGGCATACATCACATGCTGTATTAGCCTATATATTGACAAATACATCACAGAAAGTTTAGCAAACACTGTGGAATTAAATAAATAAATAAATGAATAAATAAAAGAGCCTCTGTAGCATAACGTCAGGTAAACAGCAAAGACAACAGACTATATAAAACGAAAACAAAGAAGAGTAATACTAAATTGGTTTTCAGTGACAGTGCTAGCGAGTTGTTTTTTTTTTGCTAAGACAACCAACATGTTCACCTTCTCTGGTTTAAGAAGCGGTCTTTTAATTTACTTTTACATTTCGCTTGAAAACCAAGTCCTCCGTCTGCTATCGTTTCCTCATAATTTTTGCCAAATTGGGCTATCAAATGAAAACTACTTTCAAAATCCAACAATCAAAAGTAGCTGACTGACCCTGGCCACATTGACGTAATCATCGTCGGAGAGTGTGTCGAGCATCTCTGTGACCGAAGCTTTGATCAGTTTGAGAGTAAGTCCACTGACACTGCCGCTCCTGTGAACGGAAAAATGTCCATTTTAAACAAAACCAGGCAAACGCGCAGCTCACAACAGCACACACAAATACTCACACGTCTACGAGGATGACCATATCTTTGGGCGAGGATGCTCCTTGAATGTACCTGAGGAAAACAACGACAATTTTAAGTATTATTAAGATCCGTTAAACCCCGACCTCAAACCTAAACTGACCAATCAAAGGCTATCAACAGTTTCTACAGATGTACACCATGGACAAAAAAGTTGATTTACTGTAGGTTAACTGGACAGTTTGGCTTCTGATTGGATGTCTCCAAACATAGTTACAGGTTCACTGAAAGAGAAAGGATTTAAACACTCAAAAGATACAGGAAATGTATTACCAGGGTCGTCGTCGTACATCATAAAGGTCAATCTTATCCGGCGCTTTCCAGGGAGCAGCTACAAGACAAAATATGTTACTTATTTGGGACATATGTGGTCTCAGGCTGCAATCCGATTGGTTGGTTTCACAATTTACGCAAAACGAACTATGATCTGCCTTAGTACATGTCGATCAGATGGTTACCTGGATAATATCTCGTGACACCGGTGGCGCTTCCAAACGCTTGCCAGAGCAACGACGGGTCGTCTCTGCTGTTCTCTATAAAGACTCGCTCTAACGCTTGCGTCCAGTTCAGCTCGTTCAGGATCACCGGAGCTACAGACAGACAGACACGTCATGAACTCTCATTGACTCATACAGAGATCTAATAGCATCAGTCTGGTTCCTCACCGCCTTTGTAGATGTCTGTGGGGATCTGGACAGCGGTGTGTGAGTAATTCACATGGTTTTTGAAGTTCGGATCGTACACAAACTCCAGTTTCAACGACATCTGGGAATCAATGTCCTCACCGTCCTGATGAGAATCATGATATAATCAGAGTCCATTGTTTCAGCTTGAGTCCGATCTTTATTCCGAATTATTGTCATATGGTGATAAATGAACATGCAAAATAGTAGTTTAGAAGTTCAAGCAACCAGCTTCTAAAACAAATGGTGTATGAATGTATGAATATTTCTTATTAACATACCAAGAAAGCATCATTTTCCTTTACATTACATATGCTTTTCTTAAAATAGTTCACAGGCCCACTACATTA